CTAAAACGAAGCATATTGAAATTAGGCATCACTCGATTAGAGATCATGTTCAAAAAGGTGATATTATGCTTGAATATGTTGATACCTTGCATCAATTAGCTGATATTTTCATAAAACCTCTTGATAATGATAGATTTTATGCAATTAAAGGTAAACTTGGTATGATGAATGCTCATTGAAATGAATTTTTTAGTGATATGATGAATGTTGCAACCTTGATTGATCAAATGTATATTTATTTTGACATTTTTTTTTAATCTTGTGTATGATTGTATGATGCATATTTGAATGTTCATATTGCATGGTTTCTAAATCTTTAAAAAAAATGCTACAGGGAAAATCGATCGATCCCTTTTGGACCGGATCGATTTGGTTTTCATCCAGTAACCAAATTAAAGGAAAATGTTGAGGAACCGATCGATCCCCCTTGGATCAAATCAATCGACTTTCCATCCAGTAGCCAAATTAAGTGGAAAATGTGAGCAATCGATGATCCCCCTTATGGACCTGATCGATCGGTCCATGGCAAACCTATACCTGATTGATCCCCCTTCATAACCGATCGATCAGGTCATGCAAAACTAGCATTATGTGTACCATTTTATCTGCTCAAAATTAGCTCCCATCTCCTTCTTGCCTAATCATTCCATCTTTTCATCTCTTTTTCTTCTTCCTCAAACACCTTCTCCTCAAACCCTAGAAATTTTTACTTTATTTTCTCTCAAAATTAATCTCTCTTAAACAAATTTTTTTGCAAATTGCTTCATTTCTATTTGCTTTCTTGTAAAAATCATCCTTAAAAATCTTCAAATCACATAAAAATCTCCACTCATTCTTCTCACTTTAAAAAATTGATCCCCCTTTTTGAAACTACTACATTTACTCAATTTTCTTGTCTCTCTAAAATATATTCTACTACCTATCATCTACAAGCACCAATTTCTACATCAATTTCACATATGCTTACCTATTTCAATATCCCATTGTTTTCATGGCTTAAAAGACTAAAGAAAGTGTTGGAACAAGGAGGAATCTTCTAAGGGAGGCTTCTAGCTCATCAATGAAGCCTTCATTCAATCAAAATTTTACCAATCATGATACTAATGAGAGATATGAAACACATTTTGCTTATAAAAAAGTCAAGCATGGAAGGGTAATCTCTCTTGAATTCTTACAATCTATTGAGTTCCCTTATTTACATGCATTTGAGAGATTTTAGTGGATGAACTACTTGTGCATAGATGAAATTTTGTTTGAGAATCTAGTTAAGGTGTTCTATAATAATGCTACTTATATTGAAATTGAAGGGTCTGTAAATAGATATAATCCTGATAGATTCAGAACCTATGTGATGGGCAAAGAAATTATTAGCTAAAGTATTTATGCTAGATAATAAGGGAGACACCAACACTAGGTGTGATATGTTAGAACTAACTCAAAATATATTTAGAAATGATAATTTAATAGTTGCTCCTAGTCAAGCCACTAGACTTTCAATGCATGATAGGTTGTTACACCTTATTATCACTTATGTATTGACACCTTTTGACACCAATACTCAACCATTAGGAAACAAGATTACTGGTGGATATATAAAATCAAACATAAAAAAAACCCAATTTGGTGCATTTTATTTTTAGTAATATGATAAGGGTAGTACAAAATAAAGACTACAATTTAGTTTATGGTTTTGCAATCAATAATTTTTAAAAAATTGAACATTAATACTATAAGAGATAAAGAGATTGTGTTCAATGATCCATTTAGCATTCTTGGTGCTCCTACTCTGCATAGTATAGGCTATATTCAAAATGCAGCAGGTTTGTAGGTTAGAAAAACTGATATTGAGGCTATGCAAGAAAAGAGCGAAAAGCATGAAATATTAAATATTCTTGATGCACCTTAAGGAAAACCTTCTACCCTATCATTTGATACCCAAGGAGCTTTAGAAATGCTTATGCTATAGATGAACAGTCTACATTTAGTGGTTGGGATTATGAATTCTTGATTAGAAAACATGGAAATGACTCAAAATGAGCTAATTTTCTAAGTTCACAAGTTAGAGTTGATATTGAACACCTTCGGTCTGCACAACAGTAAATGGGATAGCACTTTCCTCATTTTCTTCATTCTCCACCTCCTCCTCAATGATTCATCCTAATGCCTTTCCTCATATGTTTTCCCACATCTTTTTTTTTTGTTGTAAATTTTTCCTTAAAAACTCTTTGTATTATGGTTTCTTATCAAACTTTGGTCTTTGACGTTTATATTAATGAAATATATATTTCATTTTCATTATGATATTTGCTAGATCACTTTGAAATTATGGCTAGTGAAATCGATATATTGCTTGATGATTGATATTTTGCTTGATATTGAGATTGGTTTGAACTTAAGTTGTCAAATTGAATTGGTATGGCCTTGAATTCATTGCCATCTTCCTTTGATTGACTTTATGCTTTTTGCTATGACAAAAAGGGGGAGAGGAATTGGTATGAAAAATTTCTATTTGATTGATGATCTTGGTGGTATGAAAAATTTTAATTTGACTGATGATCTTAATCGTATGAAAATTTCTACTTGATGATATTGACATTGTTCTTGTTCTTAGTTGTTTTAAAATCTCTTAAAATTTCTTTATGCTTAAATTCAGGGAGAGCTTATTTTTCAATTGAAAAAATGTTTTTAAGCAAATTTTTCACTTGGTTTTGTCATATAAAAAAATGGGAGATTGTTAGCCTTGAATTGATTAGAAGTTTTGAATTGACAAAACAAAATTTTGCCTACCGTGAATCAAACTCTCATAATCTTAAATTGAACATTTTTGTAGCCTTTTATCTTGCCAAAATTCATTTAAGAACTAAAACAAAGCAAATTCTCGACATAAAATGGATTAAGGCATGTTTTGGATAGAAAGGATCAATCCCCTAAGGGGAGGGATCGATCCACTCCCTTACCCGATCAATCCCCTAGCCAAAGGGATCGATCTATTTTTCTTTCAATAGTTAAACTCATGAAAATTCATCAAGAACCAATCGATCCCCTCCTTGTAGGGATCAATTGGTTGGGGTTTAAACTTACCCGATCAATCCCTCCCTTAAAGAGATTGATCTGTTTTTTATACATAATGCAAAATGAGGTTAAAAATCAACAAAAGGGATCAATCCTCCCACATAGGGAATCGATCACCCAAGAACTAGATCGATCAAGTATATTACCTGATCGATCAGGTATGTGGTTTCTCGCATGAAATTAGGTTTTCATATAACTGACCCAATCGATCCTCTATATCAGAAGATCGATCCCCTGATGCCTAGAAAGCCACAACGGTTATTACTTTGTAAGTTTGAAGCATTAAATGCAAAGCAATGGCTATCTACTCCTTTCTACATATAAATGGAAGTTTCCACTACAAATTAAGAGTATGAGAAACTGAAAGAACTTATTACCTCCACCAACTATCTTGTTCAAGCATTCAAACTAGTTTAAAGAGAAAAAAATGTAGAAAATCCTTCTTGTACTAGTTTTTCTCTAAAATCCTCTTGTTAATATTACTTTGTACTTCAAGCTATCAAACACCTAACCTTAGAGAGGTTCTTTAAGTTTGCATAATACTTCATAAACTTTTTATTGTGAGATTGTAAGTTTAAAGAGGAGGATAACCCTTAAAAGTTTGTGGTGTTGATTGTGTAAAGCTTTGAGAAGCTAGGTTGTAACTTGCAACACATAGTGGATTAAACTCCTTAGCAAGTGAGGCTAAGGGAGAGGATGTAAGTGCCTAAAGAAAAGACTGAACCTCTATAAATCTTGGTGTCTAATTATCTATCTCTATCTCTTATTTTTAAGATTGTCAGTTTACTCTCATTTATTGTATTCATTTGCTCAGATAAATTATTTTGTAGAATTTGTGCTTATTAAGTATTGGTTTTTCAAAATTTTATTATCAACCAATTCATCCCTTTTTGATTTATTTCAAGTCTTTAAGTTAACAATATCTAATATATATTTTAATTTGAATGATTAAAAACAACATATTGCATATATTGCTTAGATATTTTTGTACTTATTTTTTATTTAAGCTGTTATTACTTTTAGAATAATGTTTTATTTTCATGATGTGAGTTTTCAAATGGGTATGTGGTTTGAAATGCATACTATTTAATTGGAGTAATTGAAATCTGCAAAAATTCTCGTTTAAATATTCTTTGTTAATTTGATACATATAAACAAACTAACTAATTTTTTGTTCCACATTAAAATTCAACCACTTCCATAAGCATTTTGTTCACTAGTTCATGCAAGGTTTAAAAACTCCAAAGATAGTTTAGCTAAAATGATTGGACCCAAAAACATTCAAATTCAAATTCAAAACTGATGCCTTTGGTTTTGTGAGTTCTTTCTCAATCTCTCATCTCTTTACCTGCCTTATGCAATTAATCATTTTGCTGATACCGTTTGCAAGAGGTTCCCCTCTCGTAGCAGATTCTTCAAGGACAATCCTGAATTTTACTTGGTGAAAAAATGAAGCGAATTGAAGAAGCATGGTTCAAGTTGTCCTGACCCGGACAAACAAGGAGCTCAACCAAGCGTTAAGCCCCATTTCAGTTTGGCTTATAATATACCATTATTCAAATCTCTTTCCCCAATGCCAATGGAAGGGGAAAAAAACAGGTCATTACATCATAGTTTCCCCTTTGCTTCATTTAACAATAATTATATATTTTCCAAACGATCAAAAGAAGTATACTTCAGAAATTTCTTATATGCATTGTTGTGCAGATATTTCTCTTCACTTACCTTAATGCCCTCACCGCTAACTCATTCCAGAAACTCGATCTAACCTTGAAGAAAAAGTTATTGAAGACGGACAAAAAACAAATGACATATAACTATACAATCTATAATGAGACGCTAATGACTAAGAAGAAGATGATGCATTCACAAAACTTCCCTATCATGCTGCCATTTATCTATACACATGCATTATTATACAAGATGCATCATGGCAAATATTGTTCAAAACACTCTTTCAGTTTTTGGAAAGTTACGGGCTTTGAAACAAATGAGTCCATACCATTTGCAAAACACTCATCAGCACTCTGTGACAATGCATGCGCAGTCATCTGCATTTGCACCAACAAAAGTTAATGTTATTATTGCAGCTTATGAAGAATAATGCAAATATCCTGTACTGAAGTACGATTAAGACTATTTTCTAGGTTAATAAAAGCTAAACTTGATTATGTAAGGGGAAAAAACCAATTTCAGAAGAAAATCATAATAGCTTTACCAACAGACCAGCTTAGTCAGATAATTTTTTTATACTTGAGGCTGTCGGGATTGAACTCTAATCACTGAGACTAAGAGTCCAATACTTCACCAACACATCACGAGGCTGTTGGCTAACCAGACAATCTTTACCCCCTTATAAGCGGTAACAATTAGACTAATCAGAATATATAGCTTTAATTGCTAACTGTATGAGATTATATTTACCATAGAATCAGCCTACTGAAACCCAATAATCAATTAGCTGAATCTGGTTTGTCATTTTAAACACAGGTGCAAAGAGAATGCAGTAACGTTTTCGGTGTTTCTCCTAGACTTGATAAAGGGCGGACCAGCCTAATACAAAGATTTTTTGTTATAAAATATGCAGCATATGTAAGGAAACTGAAATAGGTAGGAAGAGAGAGGATAAATTATCTAAGTTCAAGTTGAGGGCAGTAAAATTGATGAGCTCACCGCAATTATGGGAATCCGCTTCGTTGAAAGTGTACAACCTGGTTGGAATGAATCTGAGGAAGGCAAAGGTTGCTCCATCCCAGCCTTTGCTGCTGCATCCCAATTACCAGTTTCTTCAAAGGAACTAATCAATCTTGTTGCTTGAAGGCCATCCATGACTGGCATGCAAACATCCTGCAAGATAAATGTAGTAAATGTTTACTAATAAACTGAAGTCGATAAAGCAGCTTTTTGAATTCAAATGCAGACAAGATGTTTCATCTTCTCTAACTATGCAGCTAGCTTTTCTTTATGTTTTCATCATCACAAAAAAAAAAAAAAAAGGGGGCAAGCTAATGGTAATGTTTATTCAAAAAACGGTAAAATTTGAGCAGATTTTAACCCAGTAAGAAGCAACTCATATATGGGGAGGAGAGCAAAGAGAGGAAGGAATTGAGAGATCCTGAAAGAATTACCATCAGGATGAGATCATAATTATGGTGGTGAACTGCACAGACAGCTTCAACACCATTGTTCACAACATCTATTGTGTGGCCTAACTGCTTCATCATTGACTTTGTTACCATTACATTAATCTTATTAACTTCCACAAGTAGGATCTTAGGCTTTGAGATAGAACTTGATACTTCTCGATTGCTGTTTAATTTGGACTGGTAACCAGTGTCAGATTTCTCCTGCCTCTTAGGTGAGGGCTGGGGCTCAGTTAACTTCATTTTTGCATCCACTTCTCTGCTTGTCTCTGAGCGACTTGACACATCCGTGGTAGAAACTTTGTCCTGACCATTTGCAACATTTTGATGATGCTTGTCTCTGCAAATTGCACTTACATTATCAGGGTCTGGGCTGTGTCTAAATGAACTTTCAGGCTTAGATGATATCTCTACAGCTTCAGCCACAGAACAAGCATCCTCAACTAAATCCATCTCCTTTGTTTGACCGTTATTCATGGGAAATGAATAAAAATTCTCTGAGAACCAATTAAGTTTATGTGAATTTGCGTAGCCAAAATCATGTGGTGTTAATTTTTGAGTTCTGCGAGATCCATTAGAAGAAAACAGAGAACCCAAAGTGTTAGGCTGGAAATGGAAAAAGCCAGCAGTTGCATCATCATATGTAGCACCATGATCAGCCATATCTGAGAGGTCATCCGGGTCATCAGAATGATCACATGATAGAGAAAACTTGTAAGGTAGGATAAACGTAAATGTAGAACCAAAATGCACTCGGCTAGACACAGTAAGACGGCCTCCCATTAGCTCAACCTGTAGCAAATGCGTGGGATGTTAGGACTTAGGTCTGGCACCAGCAAGAGCATCAGATCAAATCTCTGCAAATATTAACTTAAATTTCTCAGAGTAAAAGGAAAACATACATAAAATATATGGAATCACAAATTTCCCAACTTTTGGATGATCTGGAATTTACTATTGTTGACGGTAATATGCTGTAAATTGTCCTTTCCATACAAGCTCTTAGCTTATAAAACTTCAAAGATATTTTTGGCATGTGCGGAGCAACAATGTATTAAAAATGAACTACAAGATGTTGAAAGCACTGAACAAACTATTTATATTCTAATATGAAATTATATGTTTTTCTGTCCATGAAGTGCAGAACTAGGATAGATAGTTAAATTGGACCTCTTCTTTAAACTGAAGAAAGAAGAGGGAAGGCAATTAGGCTACAAGCATAAGCTTTAGATTAATACTTATTTGGCAGTATCAACTGCAGAAAAAAAAATTTCAAACCAAATAAAACATTATGGTTGATGGAAGGAAGACTTCACCAGCTGTTTACATATTGCGAGGCCTAGTCCTGTCCCACCATACTTTCGGGCATGTTCAGCACTCACTTGCATGTACTTCTTAAAACGAGTGGGTAAAGCATTTTCTGTCAAAGAAAGACAGGAAAATATATCATGTACTCCCCATTGTGAATCAACTTATATATCTAACAAAATCTCAGATTTTCCAGTGACAATGAAATGATTAAAAATAAGCATAGGTATGTACCTGGTATTCCAATTCCAGTGTCATATACATCGCAGCATATCCACACTGTTGTTTCAGCTAACTCTGCTTGCTCCTTAGTCCCATTTATTGTTCCATTCATGACTGAAGTACCAGGTTCACTAAATGAATGATTTTGGCAAAAATCTTCTTGTTTCTTACCATGAAATCCCTTCTGATCACTGCTAGTTTGAGACATTGATGGACATGTCTCTTCTTTCGCTACATTAGTAGTAGATTGATTAGCAGTTGATCCATCAGATCCGTGCTGAGATCCTTCTTTTGCAAAAGGCGGCTCTGGTACTACATAAAGTTTTACTCCGACCTTCCCTTCATGTGTGAACTTGATCGCATTGCTGCAGAAAATTAAAAGGTTTTACTTTGCATGTGAGTAATGAAAGCAATAAATAGTAAATAATTCAAAAAGATCTTATCAGCACAATTGTTAGGATCATTATATTCTAAGACTTGCAGTAACACTTATTACTTAGTTCTCTGAATGATCAGTTATTCAGTCCTGATTAATGCTACCAGTGCAGCCTGTTTATACCATAGAATATTTTGACGACAATCAATAGAAAAATGAAACAGAAATCATGACTTATCATAATTCAGTACCTGATCAAGTTGGTGAGAATTTGTCGAATTCTTAGGACATCTCCAATGACCTGATCTCAATGCATAAAGTTCCAAAAATAGGAGAGAATGAGGAAAGGGGCTTTAATGTCTAAATATGATACCGGATGCAAATGCATCATAAAACTCTCACCTCAATAGGAACATTGTCTGCTACATGTCCTTCCAAGATAAGAATCTTTTGCAATGATGCTGCAGCTGTCTGCAGAACGTGCTTTACCACCTCTCTTGGTCGGAACTTTGTAGCTTCCAACTTCATAACACCTAAAAAAACAGATAAAAGAAGATAAAAGCAGAAATTCCAACATAAGAGATGATAATATATCTGTGATTGAGCAGAATATGAAGATGCAGATAGCATAAAATTCTGAGACGAAAAAAAGGCATGTTATGAATCAGAAACATATGCCTTACAAGATCACTTTGACACCAGATCTCTCACACTAGGTTCAACTTCTGATTCCTTTATAGCAGTAGTATTATTGTCAAACTCAAGAGTTGTGATGACAAAAACAAATCAGCTCTAATAAACTAAATATAAACAGTTGAAAAATAATAAAAACAAACATGTGGATAAGCTTCTAATGCAATTTAAGGGTAAAATCCAAACCTGATTCAACCTTGGAAAGATCAAGGATGTCATTTATGAGTTGAAGAACCAAATCTCCCGAAGATAGCATGACATCTAACAATTGTCTTTGCTCTGGGTCAAGTTTCGTGGTGGCCAGGATCTCAGCCATGCTGACAACCCTAGAGAGAGGAGATCTTATCTCGTGAGACATGGTTGCCAGCATTTGTTTTGCACGCATTGTCTCCTCTAGAGAAGTGTAAAAGGGCAAGGCAGAGTTTACTTCAGTGCTTTAAAAGGTAGCTAAAGAAAAATTCACAAATATTCAGTTGTAACCAAGTAAATGAACCTGTTATATGTATTGTTTTGTTCAGCTCTTTTTCCTTTGCCTTTCGTACTGCAATCTCCTCTCGAAGCTTTGCCATCTTTTCTCTTTTCCTTACCTATTGTGCAATCAGAAACTTAAATATCCATTCTTCTCCTTCTCAATTAATAGCTTAGAAAATCAATAGGACCAAACTAAGTATACCTGGTCTGTTACATCCATGCCCATATAATTTATACCAATAGTCTCTCCTGCCTTGCTAAAAACAGGTTCCACATATATCAAAAATGTCTTTGACCCAAATAGTTCTGTCTCAAATGTGATTTCCCTCTTTGCAGGTAATCCCTTTTCCATCACTTCCTTTTTAAAATCCTGAGACTCCTTAACACCAGATCCAGTAAAAATTTCCACATCCGTTTTTCCTAAAATGTCCTGAAATAAGAACTCATTAAGTTTCAGGTAATTCTTATGCTACTCACTGTGAATGAAGGGACAAAGAAGGAGAGGGAGGAAGCTACAAAAGAAGCAAAATTCTAATATGAGGACAAAATTTGTGCTGACAACCAACACTTGACAAAAGATTATCAAACCTTGAATAAGAACTTCTGGGGCAATAAATTACCTCCTCTTGTAAACTTGGAAAATGATTATAAATAAAGCGATAACGCAGCTCTTTATCCTGAAAGTTGATCAAACTAATTTCATTAGTTAAAAGATCATACTATAATCATTGAAAAGAATATAAAATCAACATATACATTTATGGTCAAAAGTGAAAAAAAAAGAAAGTGTATACATCTCATCATACTTCAGCTAATTTTGGAATTTGTACTCATTTGATATCTAGTTATAGGCAAATGAAAAGCTATAAACTGAGGATTTGAGTGCTCTGCATAACAAATGATCATCAGCTCAAACTACCATATTTATTCCTGGCTGAAACTATTTATTTGATGATATCTCATTCTGCACACAACATCACATATTTAACAACATTGAAATTGACATCACTCAAGAACCTGTGCAATGAATTAAGAATGTGCTTGGAACACTCTTAAAAGTATAGGTTTAGGGCACTACAAGTTTATTTGTGAGGCAGCATGTTATATCACTAAATCTTTCATGATTACCTGATGTCCAAAAACAACGGGTGCATTTTGAAGTACAAAATGTAAGAAATTATCCGCTCTTTTAAGAATCTGAGACAACTCTTCTACCGGTGAGGACTGTCTTTCCAGATTTTTTATGCTTTCCTGCAACTTTTCCTTAAGTAGCTGCTCTCTCTGGATGCTTGCTTCCAACAGTTTCTCCAAATGCATGACACGCTGTTTCCAGTATCTGACAGTGTCATATTCAGCATCAATTTCAACTCTTTTATTTGGAACCACAACATCATTTTTCCTTTGAGGAACTTCTTGCCATATATCATACACTTCATCCAGTATGGAAATTGGGCATTTATCTTCTCCATATCTTTCCTCCTCAAAACGATGTTCCTCCAATATCTCCAATTTCTTAAGCTCAGATTCCTGCCTTTGCCTACTTAGATTGTCAAGTTCTTCTCTAAGAAGACGAACAGCATTTGCTTGCTTGAATTCCCAGTGTTTTACAAGGTATGCTAACTGAGACGAGCCCTTTTCAGAATAATTAGTTAGCTCTAAAAGATGCTTGAAATCTACTATGGTTGGCTCCTCTACAATTGTAACCTCCTCCAACGTGTCTTGGTCTCCTCCTGGCTTTTCTACATTAAATTGCTTTCCAGCTTCGTGTTCAATATCTTCAGGCCACATTGAAGAAAGGACTTCGATGTCCATGTCTTCAATTTTATCAGTCACCATCTCTCAAAACATGGAAATTACTTAATTACTACCTGTTTGAAATGTTCAGAACATAAATGAACAACAAAAGATCACCAAACTGCCCTTCACTGCTCCCGTATATACTTCACGTATGTCCAGTTATCTCCATAAAGCATCTTTTAATCAGAACAGAACCTGCATGAGACTATTAGTTGTAATCCACGGTAAGTTATAAGAAAGAAAAATAAAGCACCGAGCTTTAGCCTTGAAAATAAACCAATTGATTCTTAGATTTTTCCAGCCGTACTACTTCATTCCGAATCAAATTTATTTGAAAGTGAATCATACGACAAAGATGTGCAGTTCTTGGAACAGAGAATGTTGTTAATAGTAGCAAATCATACGAAGCAGAAAAACAAGTTAACCTGTTTATCAAAAAGAGAAGATGGAAATGTTGACCAACGGGAAAAAACATCAACTGAAAACAAAATAGACTTTAGAAATCTCTTTTAACCAACGGAAGTTAAATAAACTCCAAAAGTTGATAGAATTCTATGTTTGTTCAATTTTCAACAAAAAGGCTAAATTTGGCTAAAAACTAATAACTTTTAGCTGACTTTAGTATCAACTGAATTGTATCACGTTCTTTTTTGTATCACATTCTAAGCAAGAGGCAACAGGGAATTAAAGAGAATGAAGCTCGTATATGAATAAGATCCATCAAACAGAACATGCAAAAAATTGGACCAACAAAAAAAAGGTGAAATTCGCCAATAGCCACGATTGAACAAACACATTAGTAAGCTAACCTTTGAGATTGAATCATAGCCAATCCTGCAAAGAACAGAGTCTTCAGAGGTTGACAACAACAGCCAAAACTCAAAAACCCTTTTCACTGTAGATCTGAAGAATATCTCTCTCTTCAACAATTGAGTCAATAACCTTCAAATGCTAATGAGAAAATCTTTCTTTAATAAGAAAAAAAATGTGAAGCAGCCAAGTGTTGAGAGGAGAGAGACAAATGAAAAGAGTTACATTAAGAGAGCATGCGATTGAAAAGAAAAACAAAAATGTTGAGAGAAGGGGAAAACCCAAGAACCCATGTGCGATTGGAGTTAAAAAACATTAGACAATTCTCTCATTCTTGGCCTTTTATCCTTTTTAATTAATGACTTGTATTTTGCTTATATTCTCTTCCTCCCTTTGTTTCTTTTGAGGTTAAATTCAAAGTTTCTTCTGTGCAAAAAATATCACGCAACCTTGAGCTAATTACAAGTAAATTTTAAAGAGGATTGAGTGTTTTTTGCGTCTACTCTTCTTCTAGCCCTGGGGAATGAACAATATTCGAGACAAAATCAGAAAATTGAAGGAACATTTTGAGAGACAGACAGGGAGAGAAAAGGAGGAGAGTTTTTTTTTTTTTTGTTAAATAAGGGGGAGTTCTTTGTGTCCCCGGCCACTCTTTACTATTTCTAGGTGACGTGTTGAGACGGCATTTGGATGTGACGCGCAAAGGTGCTGAAGATGATGATGATTCAATCTAGCAACTAGTACGAGTACTGTCTTTTCTTTCTCTGGCAGCGGCAGCATTGAGTATTTATTGCATGCTGGAAGTGCCTTCCGATACAAGTCTAAACTAAAACTACAAGAAAGCAAAGAGGGTGGAGAATATTTATTTATAACCATTAACCTTAAGCCCAAATTGGGTTAGATCATCTTTATTATAGTTGCCTTTGCTGTTAACTATGGTTAAACAAATGTTTTTCTTCTTCTTTATGGGGTAATTATTTCTTTTTTTTTTTTAGTAAATGTCTTCATTCATTCACTAACAAATAAATCCGTCTTTTAAGGCATTACATAAATACGGAGGCGGTTCTTCTATCCGGCCGCTATCCATATTTGCATCTAAGCTATACTTACCTAAACAATAAGCAACTGCATTCCTTTTTCGTCCTACATGCATCAATGCACAGATGATAAAACTATCTATTAATTTCCTACCCTCATCCAGTATCATACCTATAGGAGAGAAATCAGACTCTTGCTGATGCACTTTCTTCCAGATTGCTAACGCATCCCCTTCAACAATTATAGATTGAAATCCCATATCTTTAGCAAAGTTTAACGCTTGAACAAACGTTTTCGCCTCCACCACAAACAGATTATCAACCTTATCAAACTTAATGGCACATACCCCCATAAATTGGCTGTTTGAGTCACAGATGACAACATATCCTCCTCCCTTTTTCTCCTTATGGTCCAATGCACCATCGAAGTTTACTTTGTAAAGACCAGGTCACGGGGTTTCCATCTATGATCTGTCATTTTTGCTACTTGGCTTTCTCGTTCCTGTGCATTGTTGAACTCATTAATGTACATCTTGACAATCTGCCTGGGATGTTGGAGTTCTTGCCTTCCCATGTGTCTCCTTGCTCCTGTTCGTCTAGTTCACCCAACTCGTTACTGCCAACTGTTGTGACTGTTCTTGATTGATTGTTCTTATCCACTCCTTCAACCATTCTATCTCCATGGTATCTTCCTCAATATGTCTATCCCATGTGTAGTGGAGTTGTTGCCAAACATCTCTTGCCACGTCACAGCGTTTAAGAGCATGGAGTATATTGTCTTTGCTTCCTTTTCACACTAACTGCAAGTCGCTTCAGCATTAATTCCCCTTCGTGCTAGACTATCTATGGTTGCAAAATGCCACAACAAGTTCGCCACATGAAGACTTTTATTTTGTTTAGAACTGGTGCAGCTCGGACTGTCTTCCATAACCTGTTTTCAGCTTCTTTATTAGGTGACATGTTGTTTTCTTCTCGCTGGCAAATCAGCCTGTATCCGTTTTTTACTGAATATCTCCTAATCTTGTCATAATGCCACACCATAATATCAGGACCACCTTTCCTGCTTAGTGGTATTATGCTTATGGCTTCTGCTTCATCCACGTAAAACCTCTCCTGTAATAGCTCCATTTTTTCATTTTTCATTTTTCATTTTCCATTTTCCATTTCCCTAAGTTATCGTCGATTAAATTTTCCACTAATTCATTCTCCATCCAGTCTCGGCTTGGTGATCGAATTAAGAAGGCCTCATTGAAAGGCACCCATTTATCACTCCACACCGGAATTGATCTCCCATCTCCAATACTCCATCAGGTGCCTTGCTCCAATATTGGTATGGATCCCCAAATGCTCTTCCACGTTAGGGAAGGGTAACTTAGAGTTTAGGAAAGATGTCATTGGGAAGTATTTTGCCTTGAGTATTTGATGCGCCAATGTTGTGGGATCTATTAATAATCTCCACACTTGCTTTGCCAGCATTGTCATATTAAAACTTTCCATCTCACAAAACCCCATCCCCTCTAATGCTTTTGGCCGACACATTTTCTCCCAGCTAAGCTAGTGGATTCTTTTCTTGTCATTGCTCTGCCTCCACAAAAAATTACTTAATATGCTGTTAAGTTCCATACAAAAATGTCCTAGGTAGCCGAAAACATCCCATGGTGTATGTTGGGATTGCCTATACCACAGCTTTTAGGGACCTCCTTGCCACCTTAAGAGAACATTGACAATTTCTTCGTGCTAGGCGATGGTGCATTCTGTCTTTCAATTCTCTGAATGCTTTCCTCCTATCCCTGCCCACCATTGATGATACCCCCTTGTATTTCTCCATGTTTACTGTGCCTTTAATTACCAGTGCCTCTTTGATTTCTAACTTACTGCTTTTCATTATGTTGCTGCTAAAATAAATAGCCGACTTAGCAAAGTTTATACACTAACCCAAACTGTCTTCATTCCTCAGCATGTGCCTCATCACCTTGCTCTCCGTTCTACTTGCTTTGGCAATTAGGATACTGTCATCGGCGAAGAACAAACGAGTAGTCCTAGGTCTAGTCCTACTTTCTTGTAGGCCATTCAGCAATCCCTCCCTTTGATATTTATGCAACAGTGATGATAATCCTTTTGTGCACATTAGAAACAAGAATGAAGAAAGCAAGTCTCTTTACCGGAGGCTTATTTTAGGCTTAAAAGAGTCTGTGATATCACCATTAACCAGAATAAAATAGGACACAGATGAAACACACTTCATGATCAAAGTAGTCCCTTTTTTGTCAAATACTAGCCTAGTCATTAGTTTTTCAAGAAAGTTCCATTCCACTCGATCATATGCTTTGCCCATATCTAGCTTTAGAACAAAGTATCCATCCCTCCCATGTTTCTTGCTTTTCAAAGTGTGCAAAAGTTCATAAGCGACCAAGATATTGTCTGAAATAAGACGCCCAAGGACAAAAGCACTTTTAGTTTGGCTTATGAATACTGGTAGTACAGATTTGAGTCTATTTAATAGCACTTTTGCTAAGATTTTGTATATGACATTACAAAGACTGATTGGCCTGAAATGCCTAACACAAGTAGGTTCTTTTATTTTTGGGATGAGAACAATGTGTGTGTGATTAATATCATCAAATTCCCCCTTCCCATTAAGACATGCTATACAATAGCAAAACCTTAGCAGCCAGCTAGCCAGTTGGATCTTAATTTGATCATTTGCACATTTGTATCATATAAAATATTAATAATTTTTATCATTTTTTATACAGAAACTATATATTGTAATTAGTGTCAACACAAAAAATTTAAAATGCATTTTTTTTGTTTTCTTTTTTAAATCCATATATAGTTTTTTAATTTTAATTTATCACTTTTATGTCTTATTTCGTATTATTTTTATGCCATGTCATCGTATCATTTTTTAAATTATCAAATTTTGTTGGATCATTCTCAACATTTCTTTTATCTATTTGATGCAATAATTATGCATGAAGTACAGAGGAATGTAATTCACAAACGAGTTAATTATATTTTTTATATTTGAATTCTGTAAAATATATACAAATTAGTGTTTAAGGAATTAAAATGTACATTTTGTACCTTAAACTTTCAAATTATATATCATGTTAATCTAAACTCTAATCTCGTTAATTGTACCAACTTACAAATATGTAGCGTTTGATAAATATGATCAAGTTATATCTTCAACACATATATTATAACATCTTTTTTTAATATAAATTAAAAATATATTTTTTATCTAAATCATAAAAATGGTAAAAAATCGATCAATTATTATTTATCATGTGGCATCCACTTGATGTTTTTACAAAATATTTAATATTTTTAGGCTATGTTTATTTCACAAAAAAAAACTTTTGAAAAATAATTTTTGTATTTTTGGGTGCTTATTGGATAAAAAAACTAGTTGATCAATAGAATATATCTTACAGTTTAATGGAAATTTAAATTTTTTTTTTTTTTGAAGTTGTCTTTCCTTTTTCAAAAGGGAAAAATAATTTTCTAAAAAAAAATAATCTATTGGTAGAACTACGTCCAAGCTCATAAGCAAAGCTCTACTCAAGTTAGATCTTTAATATGAATTTTTTTAACTCAAACTTAATTTGACCTTATCTGAAATATTATTGTATTAATAAGAAACATTTTTATTTAATCTTACTTAAAAATTTAAAATATTAATATTAAAAGTCTTCAAATATTTTAATTTTAAATATTTTTATAATTAAACTCAAGTTACACATTGGACATGATATTTTAAATTTGAAGTTGATTTGACTTGACCTTCTATATTATTATATTAATAAAATATTTTTATTTAATTTTAATTAAAATATTAACATATTAATAACATATTAACATTAACAGTATTTTGATATTTTTATTTAAATATTTCTATTTTTATATATTATTAAACATAAATATTTTTAATATTTCAATAATAAATAGTATTATTTTATTCTTTTAATAATAAATAATATATTAAATAATATTTTATTATTTTAATAATTAATGTAAAATAATATAATATTATTATTTTCATAATATGAATATTTTTAATAATTCCTTAACATTTTTCAATTTAAAATATATTATTTTTATATTTTATTGATATATCTATTTATATTACTATTTTAAAAAATGTATAAATAAATAGTATTTGTGTTATGAATTAATAATAGATACTTTCATTGTAAAATATAACTATCTTAATAGTATAAATAATTTTAATATTTAATAATAAATATTACTATTTTTTAATATTATTCTATAAAAATAATATTTTAAAAATAGTAATACTATTTTAATTATTTAAAATATTAATATAAATAATAAATAGTTTTGTTTTAAGTGTTTTTTATATTAATATAATATAAATATTATTATTAAAA